ACCTATTTAAGCGGGTTGAGAGTGTGCAGTGAGCTTCAGAGGATGTTTAGAGGCCTCCTCTCAACACACCCTTTTGTAGTAAAATATCACTTTTACCCCTAGTCTACTACACTCATTAATCCTTAATGATGAAGTGAAAACATGGTTTTAGAAATTTTAGCAAATTTATTAAAAGTCAAAAACTGAAATCTCTTGTTTGCTAAAGTATGTTCTGTGGTTCTATAGACTGTTGCCGATGCATCCTGTTTGCTTTTGTTCTTGAGGTGTGTCTAGAACCCGATCAGACAAACTGACCGGGTTGGACAGAGGTGAAATCTGCGCACCGTGGTCTGAAGCCACTGGATCACAAAGCAGTACTTGTCTGTACATTGAAAACGCTGTAATCATTTCTCCTGTACATACTGGCCAGGGCGGCATCAAAAACAGCTGTCGAAGTTGGAAACCTTTAGGATGACCCTCATCCTGAGGGCTAGCTGCTAACAGGACTAGGTTGTTTAGGGTTTTCTCCATTTTGATTTGTTTTAGAAAACTCATTTACTCCGATGTAAGTCACAGGAAACTGGTCTAGAAATCAGCCACTGCTGTTGGTTTCCACATCTGTTTGTTAGTTCCTCATGCTTTAAAGAAGTGAATTCAGATCTGACCACCCTGACATCAATGACTCTGGGACCAGATACAGTGTGAAAGTGGGTCCGGTTTGACGTGAGGAAATCAGATTTGGTTTGTTCACACTGAACTGGGTCACTTGGAATCTGATGTCAGCCACTTTAGTTTCAATATCTTACTGGTGAGACGTGTGACATCTGCGTCTGTCTTGGAGGACAGATGGAAATAAGCTCACAAAACGTTCAGTTGATATGTGGATTTTTACAAAAGTATTTTCAACAAAACAAACCAGCAAACATTCAGAAATATTCAGAAGCCAACCCATGATCAAGTTTGAATGTAGCTGTGTCCTCAAAGTTGCAGGCTAATAATATTCCAGTCACTTGTCTCAGTTTGGCTGCTGACTTCATTGCCTTCAACAACGAGGCCTGACAGTCTGTTGCCTCATGCAGGTTCACGCCTAAAGATGACCGTGTCCAGTCAGCCTTACGGTGGACGACCTGGCAACCAGCATCTCTGAAATGACTTCTCTCCTTTGAGTTTTTGTTGAGCTGATTGACACAAAATTAATCAGCAGCTGTTTTTTGGGTCTCTGGTTCCTGAATATTTGCTAATTTTTCTGGGTTTTATGTGATATTTTTGGACAAAAAACACAATTTGAAGTTGTCACCTTGAGTTTTGGGACATCGTGACACACTTTTCACATTTTCAGTCATTTTAAAACAAAACAGAAAATATTCATCTGACAGTGAAAATGACCAGTAGTTGTAGCTACAATCTGCTTCTTCTGCTGACCTGCTTTTGATTTATGAACCTGAAAAAGTTCACTCTTATTTTTACTAATGTTCTTTTAACATTTACAGCCTTGTTGACGGTTTTGTACAGTCAGTTTTAGCCTCTGTGAAACTAACATGTTTGTTTTGTATGTGTGTATTAATTCATTCGTACAGCAGCAAAAGACCAGTTAAACCTGACAGAGTTGTTCTGTCTGCCAGAACACGTCCAGAAGTCTTTTTGACTGTGTCGTCTCATTAAAGAGAAGAACTACCACAACGTGCTTTAAACTGCACTTGGCTAATTGGCACCATGCTGACGGAGAGCTGTGGCTCATCGCACCAGTACACCAGTGTGTGTGTGTATGTCTTGTGTACATATTGAAACATGCAGCAGCTGGAGTGTCTCTGTACTTAACTCTCTGCACCATGAAACCACCACAGGACCTCCTCATGTTTTGGGCTCCATAATGCGGGATTGTAGATGATTTTTGTGGTTTCTCTCTTAACCCTTCTGCAAACTGGAACTGAAATAACAGATTAGATACATTCATTGACAAACATAAAATCCTCTCTGATTGCCAATACGGTTTTAGGTCGAACCGATCGACATCTTTGGCCATTACCGACCTGATGGAGGACATTATAAGTGCTATGGATGAGAAGAAATACACGATGGGGATATTTATTGACCTAAAAAAGCATTTGACACAATCAATCATGAATTATTAATGTGCAAGTTAGAAAAATATGGGATCAGAGGAATGGCTCTGAAATGGATTAGAAGTTATTTGACACAGAGGCGTCAATTTGTGAAGTTGGGTGAATACCAATCGAGTGAGCTGGATATTGTATGTGGAGTGCCTCAGGGTTCTGTTTTGGGACCTAAATTATTTATACTATACATTAATGATATATGTAAGGTTTCTGAAATTGTCAAAGTGGTTTTGTTTGCTGATGACACTACCATATGGGCATCGGGTGAAAACCTACAGCAACTCTCTGGACGGGTTTCACAGGAACTTGAGAAGATAAAGAAATGGTGTGACAGTAATATTCTATCTCTGAATATGGATAAAACTAAATTTATGGTATTTGGGAATCGTAGACTAGATAATGAACCTCAATTGAAAATTGGGGGAGCTAATATAGAACGAGTACATGAAATTAAATTTCTAGGTGTCATAGTTGATGACAAATTCTCCTGGAAATCACATAT